AATCAGCTGAAAGAGAGGGGGATGAGGCTAGAATGGGTGATCTGTTTGGTATTTTGAGCAAAACACTTCAGACATGTTTTTTATATATCTGAGACCTACAGCATAATATATGCCTAACAATAGTATAATAAGAGACCTTTAAAGTAACACACTGATTTTCAGACTTTAAAACACATTTATTTCAAAACTATGGGATTTACCTGCTTACCATTCAATTTTGTCACTACCGAAACGATCATGTCAATTACCGAAACTTAACTATGTTTCGGTAGTGACTGTTTCGGTAGTGACGATTCTAGCCAAAATTGAGCATAACTAAAGAATGCTAGCATACACGTTTTTGAAGAGGTTTACACACATAAAAACCTAATACTTTGCATAAAACCCCCAAAAAGTTGACTTAATAGAAGAGAATATGTGTTCGGTAGTCACAATTCTTAAGGTTACACGCCGATTTTCAGATTTTGGAACAGATTTATATCAAAAGTATGGGATAGAGCTACTTAACATTCAGCCATGAGGGACAGGGATGCAGTGTCACTGCCTTGTAAAAAATGCAGGGGTGTGGCTAAAAACCAGGCTCAGCCATTGGACTAAAACTCCTTCTGTTTCGGTAGTGACATGAAAACTGGGGACATGATTTTTTTAGTGTAGTTTTTTTATTAAAAAATTAAACCCACAATAAATCTAAATATTCCAACTTCTGTTTGAATATAAACAATATACAATACACTACTAGTGTATTCCCCAAAATAAAATTTGACAACAATCCATCCATCCATCCATCCATCTTCTCCCGCTTATCCGTGGTCGGGTCGCGGGGGTAGCAGTTCCAGCAGAGAGCCCCAAACTTTCTTTTCCCTGGCGACATCAACCAGCTCTGACTGGGGGATCCCAAGGCGCTCCCAGGCCAGCGAAGAGATATAATCCCTCCACCTGGTCCTAGGTCTACCCCTTGGTCTCTTCCCAGCTGGACGTGCCTGGAACACCTCCCTAGGGAGGCGCCCAGGTGGCATCCTAACTAGGTGCCCGAACCACCTCAACTGGCTCCTTTCGACGCGAAGGAGGAGCGGCTCAACTCCGAGTCCCTCCCGGATGACCGAACTTCTCACCTTATCCCTAAGGGAGACACCAGCCACCCTGCGGAGAAAACCCATCTCGGCCGCTTGTATCCGCGATCTCGTTCTTTCGGTCATGACCCATCCTTCATGACCATAGGTGAGGGTAAGAACGAAAATGGCCCGGTAGACAGAGAGCTTTGCCTTCTGGCTCAGCTCCCTTTTCGTCACAACGGTGCGGTAAAGCGACTGCAGTACCGCTCCCGCTGCTCCGATTCTCCGGCCCATCTCACGCTCCATTGTTCCCTCACTCGAGAACAAGACCCCGAGATACTTGAACTCCTTCACTTGGGGTAAGGACTCATTCTCTACTTGGAGTAGACAGTCCATCGGTTTCCTGCTGAGAACCATGGCCTCAGATTTGGAGGTGCTGATCCTCATCCCAGCCGCTTCACACTCGGTTGCGAACCGATCCAGTGAGTGCTGAAGGTCGCAGACCGATGAAGCCATTAGAACCACATCATCTGCAAAAAGCAGTGGTGCAATCCTTAGTCCACCGAACTGCAGACCCCCTCCCCCACGACTACGCCTCGAAATCCGATCCATGTATATTACAAACAGGATTGGTGACAAAGCGCAGCCCTGGCGGAGGCCAACCCTCACCGGAAATGTGTCCGACTTACTACCGACGACCCGGACACAATTCTCGCTTTGGGAGTACAGAGATTGGATGGCCCTGAGTAGAGACCCCCTCACCCCATAATCCCGCAGCACCTCCCACAGTAACTCCCTGGGAACTCGGTCATACGCCTTCTCCAAGTCTACAAAACACATGTAGACCGGATAAGCGTACTCCCAGGCCCCCTCCAGGATCCTTGCGAGAGTAAAAAGCTGATCCGTCGTTCCACGACCAGGACGGAATCCGCATTGTTCCTCCTCAATCTGAGGTTCGACAATCGGCCTGACCCTCCTTTCGAGTACCTTAGAGTAAACTTTCCCGGGGAGGCTGAGTAGTGTGATGCCTCTGTAATTGGCACACACCCTCTGATCCCCCTTTTTAAAAAGGGGAACCACCACCCCGGTCTGCCACTCCTTCGGTACTGTTTCCGACTTCCACGCAACGTTGATGAGACGTGTCAACCATGACAGTCCCTCAACACCCAGAGCCTTCAGCATTTCCGGGCGGATCTCATCCACCCCCGGGGCTTTGCCACTGTGGAGTTGTTTGACGACCTCAGTGACCTCCCCCCGGGAGATTGGTGTTGATCCCCCGTCATACTCCAGCTCTGCCTCTAACATAGAGGGCGGAGTTGTCGGGTTCAGGAGTTCCTCAAAGTGTTCCTTCCAACGCCCTAACACTCCATCAGTTGAGGTCAACAACGTCCCATCCTTACTGTACACAGCTTGGATGGTTCCCTGCTTCCCCCTCCTGAGGTGTCGGACAGTTTTCCAGAACAACTTTGGTGCCGCCCGAAAGTCCTTCTCCATGTCTTCTCCGAACTTCTCCCACACCCGCTGCTTTGCCTCGGCCACGGATGAAGCTGCTGCCCTTCGGGCCTGTCGGTACCTTGCAACTGCCTCGGGAGTCCCCCGGGATAACAAATCCCTGAAGGCCTCCTTCTTCAGTCGGACGGCTTCCCTGACCACCGGTGTCCACCAGGAGGTTCGAGGGTTACCGCCCCTTGAGGCACCTAGGACCTTGAGACCACAGCTCCCCGCCGCGGCTTCGGCAATAGAGGCTTTGAACACCGACCACTCTGGTTCAATGTCCCCAACCTCCACAGGAATGCCCGAAAAGCTCCGCCGGAGGTGTGAGTTGAAGGCCTCCTGAACTTGGGCCTCCTCCAGACGTTCCCAGTTCACCCGAACTACACGTTTGGGTTTACCAGGTCTATCCAGAGGCTTCCCCCGCCACTCGACCCAACTCACCACCAGATGGTGATCAGTTGACAACTCCGCCCCTCTCTTTACCCGAGTGTCCCAAAACATACGGCCTCAGGTCCGATGATACGATAACGAAATCGATCATGGACCTTCTGCCTAGGGTGCTCTGGTACCACGTACACTTATGAGCATCCTTATGTTCGAACATGGTGTTTGTTATGGCCAATCCATGACTAGCACAGAAGTCCAGTAACAAACCACCACTCCGGTTCAGATCAGGGGGGGCGTTCCTCCCAATCACGCCCCTCCAAGTGTCTCCATCATTGCCCACATGTGCGTGACAACAATCAATTTCATTAATGGGAGACCCTAAAGATAAGAAAAATCATTGTTGTCATTTGTTCTACCTCAAAATCATTGTTGTCATTTGTTCTATCTCAAAATCTGAGGGCCCTTCCTGCTAGACTATGGTGAATACACATACTTTACAGAGATACTGTATGAGAAACCAATGCGATTTTGGAAAATTGCACAATTTAAATCTATTCTAGTAGACCTCCACAATGGAAATATGATCGGTATAAATGGCCATGACATGGGACACTTAACAGAGTGTGCATGTCCTGAAAGGCTCTTATGACATTTTGTATTTTTTTCAGGGTGAAAAAGTAGTTTGAAGAGGTTTTTTTATTCAAGTAGGGCCACTATTTTGTGGAAAATACAATCTTTTTTAAATGTCCGACCTAAATGATTCCGGTTGCTTTGTCCCTAAGATCTCACTTGCCTTGAAGATCTACATCCTAGCATGTATATTTAATGCAGGTTAAAGAAAATGACTCATTACCTAGGTATGGCAGTTCATACTTGGCCTTGGAAAGAATAGTTTGTGGATGATAACGTTTGGGTTATTGTGCAAGTGGCTGTTTGAACAGTTGGTTAGTTGGATGATCTTGAAAAATGATTTCAAAAAGGAAATGTTACCTTCCATAATGGTTTTAATTAAAAAAGCAGTTTAATCAACTAATAGTTTTAATTATTTATTATAACAAGCTCAAGAGCAAAATTCTAAACTCAAAATCTAATTGTGTAGCAGCGCTTCAATCTTTTTCCCATTTTACTCCATTATCACCTTGCGACACTCAGATGAAAAACTTTTGTTATCTTAATTCACATATATCAGAGAAGGAAATGTTTCCTGAAAGTAAACATTAATAATAATATGGGATATCAGTGAAAAGAGTTCCGTTTGCAGAATATTGCATATATTTATATATTATATATATTATTTTATTTATATATTTTCTTTGTTCTGTCTACTGTATGTACTTAATTTCCACAATTTCCTATAGTTTTTCTTTGTTTCTCTGTCCGAAATCTGTAGTTTCTATGATCACGCTTGCTGGAAATAATAAAGGCAGAATTTTTTGTCGATAACATTCGTGTATCAGTGTAATTTCAATCGCATCAAAACTAAAAATAGCTGACTGTTTTTGTATTCAGGTTTTTAGAGGATCGTTAGGCGCTGTCAAACTATCTGGTATGTCAGCCAGCTACCGCTAGATGTCGCCCTTGTGTAGCATTTTGAACAAGGAAGCGTTGAGATGAAATCCCGTTTTATTAAGCTACACACTGAATACAGAGAAAACCCGGATTGGTAAATCATTTCCCTCCAACCTAAAGTAAATATTGAAGAGCTCTTTGTAGTAACACCCAGGAACCAACCAAAAGGTTTATCATTAAACATTTGACAAAATGTAAATATTTAAATATAGATTTATAATCTATATTAAGCGTATTTTGAGCATTAGGAAAAGCGCTATACAAATCCAATGTATTATTATTATTATTGTTATTATTATTATGTCAAAAGTATTTTACGTTTTTACAAGATGAAGCTATTTAAAAAAAGAGAGTTCCAACAATGTTTTCTTATCTCTTGATAAGAATAGTCTTTATCTAGGCTACACTTGATTGAATACGTATTTATGTTTTGTTAAAACGTGTTTTATTTTGAAATTACAACACCGGAAACGAGGTATTTGTATAAACTCTGTCTTCACCACGGTCCAATCCTCCAGTGTCAGTTTGAGACAAACACAGCAGCAGGTCGCGACGTACCTGTCACCTTAGAGAACCGGGGTCTGAGAGCCGGAACCGAGCGGAGCCTTCACAAGTCTCCACTGAAGCAGAACTCTTCCTGTGTCTCCTTCTGTTTCTCCACCGAAAAGCGACAAGTGTTACTTTGGGATCCGGAGGGGAAAGGGTTGTGGAGTGTAGAGTATTTAAGCGACTGAGCATTCAGTTTCCCCACTGTGTCTCTGCTCACCTGAACATGGCTTCCACCACCTGCACCAGGTTCACCGACGAGTACCAGCTCTACGAGGAGCTGGGGAAGTAAGTTATCTGTATTTTTAAGAATACATTTGTTATTTTGTCGGGTGCTTTCACTATTTGTGTTTAAATAAACCCTAACCTCAGAGGAGACCTCCGCTATACCTGTTTGCACCTTGATATGCCCCGTGCGCGCGCGTGTGCACCACGTCACTCCAAATGTAATTCACATTTCTTTAGATGAAGTTTAAATGAAGTTATAAAGCGCGCAAGCATTTTAAAAGTCTCCACATAAACCCCGAAGTATTGTTTTAAACTCTTAATTAGCTTGCATGTGTTGGTGAACTGTGTGAATCCGAGTGAGTGCAGGGTGACGCCCATCAGAGTGTTGGAGAAACAATGTGCGCTTGTTTGAAGCTGTAATTGAGAGAAAGTTTAATTCAAAAAAGAGAAGACGCAAGGATGAGCGCCTTGGAACGCATGCCGAGTATAATGGCTGTTTGTTATCATTTCTTAATAATCTTAAATGATGTTTCAACAGTCTGGCAACGTGTTAGACATGTTAACACCAGAAGTTCTGTGAGGGAATGTGGTGTGATTATCAGCGGGAACAGGTCACCTGTGTGCTCTGCTCACAGGAAGAAGCCTGCCTTAAAGAGACTGCATCTGAGTCCTTTGGGCAGTGTGTGCCCGCAGCCTCTTACAACACAACGTGCATTCCAACCTGAAGCGTTCACTTTCTCTTTTGCTTTCAAACTTCAAAGACTGTATTTTTTTCCCTGTAAAATTAGGCTAAAGCTGCAATTCCCCATTACAGGTGTGTGCACTCTGTCATGAGTGAGCTTTGGGAAGTGTGCTTCCGCCCTCCCATACCGGGTGGCATGGGAGGGCGGACAGTAGTATTTAATACTGTGTGTATATAACCTATTTATTGTTAAATCATGCCCTAACACAAGTGTTCTTATGCACAAGAGAAACAAGGTGTTCAGACAAACAAACTCAAATATAGTATAAAACAGCAGAAAATACTCATGATACCCTAGAATTCTGTTTATTGTAAAAGTACTTAGTTATAATTAAGTACACAAATGACATCACCCATCTCTTCAGAGAGCTGAAGGTGACCTGTGCAGCAACACATTTCAATCAATATTTGTCAATACTAAGAGCTGCTAGATTGAGCTGCTGTGATGGAATATGTAAGGAGAATAAGAACATACCATGTGGTCCAGCTGGAGTCTCCTCTGCCTCCTGATCCCTGCCTCTGTCCCTCTTTCTGACACTTCATCTTTATTCCTCACATACATTTCTTCTTCTTCACTAATGTCTTCATCTCCTCCTCCTGCTCTGACCCTCCTGGTCTCTTCATCTCCTCCTCTTCCTCCTGCTCTGACCCTCCTGGTCTCTTCATCTCCTCCTCTTCCTCCTGCTCTGACCCTCCTGGTCTCTTCATCTCCTCCTCTTCCTCCTGCTCTGACCCTCCTGGTCTCTTCATCTCCTCCTCTTCCTCATCTCCTCCTCTTCCTCCTGGTCTCTTCATCTCCTCCTCTTCCTCCTGCTCTGACCCTCCTGGTCTCTTCAGTGAACTCTCTTTTCCTTTTCCTCTTTCTGTTCATCCTGATCTCTTCTCAGATATGTCTTTTTGTTGTTGTTGTTGTTGTTGTTGTTGTTGAATCACTCCAATACTCTGGCCTGCAAGAGTCTACTTGTGAAAAGCACTGGTACAAATGCGTGTATAACTTTACACGTTAGGGCCATGTAGCTAATAAGTAGCATAATAAATATAAAATCAGAAAGTATTTATCAAACGCACAGGCAGCTGTGTTTAGACCCAGTTTGACGGTAAAGGATGAATGGTTTAATTTATCTGGCCTCATTGCTGTGATGTGTAATTTGCGTGGATTTAATAGTACCGCATAGTTTAGAGAACTGGAAGAATGAGTGGAAAAGCGTCACATAAATGTATAAGTGCACACAGCTCCGTGGGAATTATTATGTGCAATTCATTTCTTAAGGTTATACTAACAATTTAAGTCATGTTTAATGATCTTTACCATCACTGAAACATAGCTATTAAGAAAGTTATTTCATAAATGGCAGATCTTGATAAATAACCATTATTTGTATTGTTTTGTGTTAAAATATTCACGAGTTAAATTATTTAAAATGCACAGTCCTGAATGTGGGGATCTACAGGACACACATTTTCAGAGTAAAGGCTTTCCCATTATTATAATTTTACTGAAATGTACATTTTACACCACAACGGAACACAAAAGCAGGACCAACCATCATACATTGAATTCCTTGACTAACAAGAGAAAGATTCATTTAAATAAATATTTAACAACAAATGGGCCGGTTCTAAGGGGTTCTTCAGTTCAGCCCGATGAGAGGAGATACAGCTGTGCACATGTCATCATTAACAGACGTCGTTTAAGAGTGACGTTTTTGAGTGAACGAGGACATCCCAATTAATACCTGAGGACTCCTCTGTCCTCGCGTCACCTCCTTGTTTCTCTCACTCGCTTCTTACGGAGGCAGAGCTAAGACGCAAGGAAGGGACGCGAGTGAGGGAAAGGAGGAGGTGAAATATTCAATTGAGACAAGCCTTTTGTCTTCTTGTTCTGTATTGATGACCCATGGTCTGCTCCTCGCACCTGTCTATCCACAGGTGTTCCTCTTCAAGCTCACTTTAAAAAGTTCATGTTGACTGCTCAAACCTGTTCTCTATAACATGACTGTCTGATACAACACTGTGCATCCCAGATGTCCTGTTGTCCACTGAATTCACACCTTTCTTCATTTATGAGGAATAACTGAGGCTACCAGTGTCATGATAGCAAAAATATGTTGGGGGGGGGGGGGGTTTATCTATGACTGGGCAATATGATTCTTTTTGTACCTCAAATATTGCCATAAAACAGTCCTACTAATTAAATTGTTACATTATCCACCATACAAAACGTCCAGAGATAATAATCCGCCTCCACAGCCATTGTGGTCAGCAGGTGTTTTTAATGAACTTTCTTAGACTTCTCCTAATGCATGGATGGGCCTGTAACAACTGTAATGGACATCTCCCATCCCTAATGTTAGCTTTGTCCCACTTGATACAGGCGTCTCAATTTTCTTCTTCAACTTTTAAGTTTGTTCTGGGAAGTTTTTTGAAGTTTGAGAACTGATCCTCAGTGTCCTAATTTAAAATGGCTCCCATGTTTAATTTTGAATGAGTCATTCAAGTCCTCCATTAGCTCTCTTGGCTTTTCCTTTAAGCGTTATAAGGCTGGGGCTGTCACATAGACATATTCATGCTCACCTTCACACAGACTACATACAGGCAACTCAAAGTTAGATGTTGACAGATTAGTCTCCGGAGCTCTGTCCAACGTAAAATAATGTCCAAATGGCATAACGTAAGCAATTAGAATAAATGAAGACACCTGTGCTGGGCCCGATCTTGGTCTTAGTCCAACATTGATTACCTGCTGATCTGAGTATTTCTAATCTTATATGTACCTACATTTGGATTAAATATATATCGGACATCCTGAAATACAAGCTGTATATTCTAAATCTGAACCTTCATTTTTCAATAACTTCAAGATCCAGAAAACGATTTTTTTATACACTTAAATGATTGATTTTAAATGTTTTTGGTGCAGAAAGTGGCTGCTGAGAGCTCACAAACACGACAATAAACAAGATACATTTAGTTCATTAAGTCAAATGCAGAATTCTTGTTAATTAGTTAATTATTCCTGTTAACTTAGTCCTAAGATATCAGTTTAATCACATGTGTTGATATCCAGATAAGCCAATTCTATGTAATGGATTCACTTCGATGGATGGGGGGGGAAGACTGATGGGGCAGAGGGCTGATCCACCTTCATTTATTAATAGAGGTATTACAAATGCTCCTGTTTTGCATTAAAGTTTTGCTAAGTAGCTGCAGGTGCTTTAGGCTTAAACCAGTTTAAAGTATAAAATCAAGAGAAGAAGGAAATCCTTTGTTTACATGTCTCACTTGCAGCAGAGAATTCACAAAGTGCTTCATGATCAGAACAAATCCAGTTAGAAAGATGGACCTGATAAAGGTCACAGTGCAACTGATACATACATATCAGCACCAGAATTCCTTTATTCCACAAACAGGGGGCTCATTTACATTGTTACAGCAAAGTATAGATAGAGACGAAGAAAATGGAGCGCTATTATATAAAAAGGAATGAACATAGTATTTCATATTAAAGTGTACAGAAATACACATTCAAGTAGAAAGTGAGTCGCAGATAAAATGTAAAGAGGAAGAACAAAATATAAATCACCATGCTGAGCTCTGAGCATGATGATCTGCACATTAAAACGACAAGATTCTTTGTCCGATAATGTACAAATGGCCCTTCTAATCCAATAATTCACAATTCAACGTCTTTCTGTTGCCCAAAAGTGTGAATGTTCTGGAATATCCTGCTGTATTGTGACAGATCTCTGACTCTTCCTTAGGGGGGCGTTCTCAGTGGTGAGACGGTGCATGAAGATTTCCACAGGCCAGGAATATGCTGCCAAATTAATCAATACCAAGAAGCTGTCAGCCAGGGGTGAGTACATGAGGCTGCTGTCATGCCACATGTTAGGTACAGTTTGCCCTGAGCAGTTCCTTTATTTAGCCATGTCAGCGCTCAAATCAACTTCCTCTGTTAATGTTTTTGACTCTGCATGTTTTTATCGCCATCATTATCTATCTTCTGTCTGTAGTAGTGGGAGGTGGTCAGGTTATAATGGTAGCGGCCTTGCTAACCACATCTTATTCCTGTCGCTTGAATTCACTCTCGCCAACGCCCTTTCTTTCGCTTTCCATTTTTGTAACTCCCCTCATCAAAGTGATAGCAACATGAAGGAAGACAGCTCTCTTTGTGACTCACTCTCTGATCACAACCACACAATGTGGTTTCTGATTAGCTGCATATGATCTCAGAATAAGAAAAAACTCTCTTCCCTTGTTTCTTTTCCTGTTTACCTTTTTTAATTTTTTAAATAGAGCTCAAGTGAAGGCATGGAGACTTTGAATGTGCCTTTCCACTGCTTTTTTATTCTCTCAATCATTATCTGTGCAGTCGGGAGCAGTCAGTCAAGCATTGCTGAATGATCCTAATGGCCAAACAACGCATATGCACACACAAAAGGAGATATGCTTGAAAAGGCATGTCATTGCACAACAGCAGCAGATGTAGGGTCTCATGGGGGAGGCAGGGGGTTTCCTCAGCATCAACAGCTGCGTGGAAACAAGCAACATGGGGGATTCTAAACATGGAGTGTGTGTGTGGAGTATCTTGTGTTTTAAAAAAGAGAAATTACAACATGTTTATGGAAAAGGAGTTCATGATCGATTCCAAGCCCGGGCCACTCACTCTCACCTGAAGGAAAATTAGAGTAAACTGAAAAGATGAGGGGGTAGGATAGGATAAGCGTACTCCCGGGCCCCCTCCAGGATCCTTGCAAGATTAAAAAGGTGATCCGTTGTTCCACGACCAGGACGGAATCCGCATTGTTCCTCCTCAATCTGAGGTTCGACAATCGGCCTGACTTTCCGACTTCCACGCAACGTTGATGAGACGTGTCAACCATGACAGTCCCTCAACATCCAGAGCCTTCAGCATTTCTGGGCGGATCTCATCCACCCCCGGGGCTTTGCCACTGTGGAGTTATTTGACGACCTCAGTGACCTCCCCCCGGGAGATTGGTGTTGATCCCCCGTCATACTCCAGCTCTGCCTCTACCATAGAGGGCGGAGTTGTCGGGTTCAGGAGTTCCTCAAAGTGTTCCTCCCAACGCCCTAACACTCCATCAGTTGAGGTCAACAACGTCCCATCCTTACTGTACACAGCTTGGATGGTTCCCTGCTTCCCCCTCCTGAGGTTTCGGACAGTTTTCCAGAACAACTTTGGTGCCGCCCGAAAGTCCTTCTCCGAACTTCTCCCACACCTGTCGGTACCGATGCGGAAATCATCTGCAGGTTAATTAAGAATAACTATTCGTTTTTATTAATAATCAATCACAATAGACACATTCAATCAATCGAAACAGGTTTTAGAAAGTGTGATAGAAACAGGAAAGGAAATACATCTGCTTTCAAATGCATTATGTGACATCATTGTAACTACAACTGTTAAAACAAATGTATAAAAAAACCGTTATTTGATGCATGAATATATTGAAATATACCATACTTTCAAACTACAACATGTGGATTCCTGAAACCCTTACCTGCATTAACACGACTAGTGTGGAGGGAGATGAGAGCTTATACTGTATACAGCAGCCTCTCCACTCTGATACAACAAGAGAAGAAGACTAACAAGCACATTTACCTTACATTTCCTGTTTATATACATTTGTATTTACATTTTATATAAATTATAGTAATATTTGTATATATAATATTCTTGTCATCGTGGATACAGAAAAACTAAATTCAGGCCAACAATTTGGTCAGTCTGGTTCCATGCATGATGAACGTGTTAATCAACATTGTAGACGCAAGTCATGATTGCGACCATTATCTGGTTTCCAGGGTTTACATGACGGCAGTTCAGCAGAGTGAATACAGCAGTAAAGCACATGCAGCTGCTTCAGTTTCACCGAGGGAAACCCCAGGCTGGTAGCCAACGCTGCTGTGTGTGTGTGTGTGTGTGTGTGTGTGTGAGGAGAAATCCTAAACAGGAAGCTCCCTCTATTTGGAGAGGCTGTAAACTCTGGCTTCACACAAAGGCAGTATTTCTGGTGCAGTGCAATTCCAAGGCAGAACGGCATGACTGTTCTGCGGTTTAATTGTTTTAAAGTACAAAATCAGAAAGAGGTTTTGACAAACGTGTCTTGGCAATCTCTGCTTTTAAAAGGAAATCCACGATTATAATCAGATCCTGATCTGTTTGTGGGCATCTTTGGTTTTAGTAGATCTGCTTTAACAGATAGGAATGATATTTGTTGAACTTCTTGCTGTCACATATTCTGTGAGAATGTATTTGAGCCGTCACTTGAAGTATGCCGACGGAATATTTTATAGGAAAAGCATATTGCAAGATTCCCCCATGGGAATCAGGAAGTGGGCCGTCGCTATGCAGATAGGACACAGCTTGGATTGAGAGCAGCATTGGTGTGACTCGTTCAGGTGAAACATTCAATTTGATTGGATCCTGAGTGTAAAACATGTCGGATCCTCTCAAAAACAACCAGTTATCAATTGTTGCTCATGTACCATTTTGTAATGTATTGAACGTTTGGTCTGGTGGATTCGATAAACCCACGGTTCTTTGGGCTGTTTTGAAGGGTATGAACATGTGGGCAATTATTTAATGTATTAGCTTTATGTTTCCTACTTTTTTATTGTCTAACCGTAAAGACATTTTAATCATGTTTGAAGTCACATAGTATAACCAATGTGTTGTATGTGCATTGCTTATCCTAAATGCCTTCCTTCAAAATAAAAGCCCTGACACTGAGCCGAACACAGAACATGCAGCCGAACTAAAACATTATCCAGATGTACTGAACTGAAAGCCCGTCTGTATGAGGGGAAACCAGGGCAGCTGTTGAACACAGACCTAGTGATGCTTGGACTCAGCCGAGTGGAAATGATCTCTTGACAAACCCTCCAGAATGTGGAGCAGTTAGCTATGGTTCAGGAGCCGTTCTGCTTCTGGAAAATACCCCGGGCCACAGCCGCTCACCGTCAACCTTCATTCCCATGGAAACAAAATAAATGGAGAGCTAAATATAGTATGTGGGGTAATAAAGACATCAGAGTATATCACAGTCTTTGTGCTGTTAATTATGCAAGTGTTGCTGTCAGTGTCCTATGAATCACTTGCTCAGACATGTTCAGCTGAACAATAATGTCATTTACTGAATTTGAATCAGATAATTTTTCGTGACGCTTCATTTACCAGCAGTGAGCCCTGTAACCAGAAGTGGGAGTAAGTCCTACATGTGCAAGTCATGTGCAAGTCTCAAACGAACAAACTACTAAAAGTAGATTAACTACATTTTTCAAAAGTTTACAGTAACTTCTGTAAAAACAAAGGGGAAATAAACGAGGCACCTCTTTTCCTCTCTCTCTCTCTCTCTCTCTCTCTCTCTCTCTCTCTCCTGACAGCCCGTCAGTATCAGGGTTAGTCAAAATGAATCCCTTGTCGGTTCTAGTGTTCATTTAACGTTTTGTCTTCTCTTTGCAATGCTTAATCGATTTGAAACCAAGTCTAACGTAGCTTAAACTTAACGTTAGCTTTCTAGCTAACACATGCACGTAGCCTTTCTCTGTGGGGTTTTGTTGTAGTGACGAATTAAGTTGGATGTTGTGGTGGTTGTGTCACTGATCTTTATGCTGCAGACCCTGCATACCGCTGTTCTCTTCTTATTAGCGTCATCGACAAAATAATCCTTGAATCCAAACTTCACTATTTTTGGACCAACGCTAGCCGCTGCCATGTTAACTGACACTCCTGCCGTGGGTTACCAGGTTTGCGCGCACGGTGCTATAATCACCCAATTACGTTTTTAAAAAAAAAACTAAACGTAATATCTCACTACAAAAACAAACGCAAATATTTAATTTTAAACAGTCAAGTCCTTTCAAGTCATCTGTCTCAAGCTTAAGTCAAGTCTCAAGTCATGAATACCAAGTCAAAGTCGAGTCTTTAATCAATGTTAGTCAAGCAAGTCTCAAGTCCAAAAATATGCGACGCCAGTCAAGTCATGTGACTTGACTCGTAACTCTTCCAGAGTAATGTTCACACACACCAGACTCCCAAACAGATGCGCAAACAGGCCTGATGTGAGTGTCTAAATCGGGGGTGGGGAACTTCCGGCCCCCGGGCCGCGAGACAATTTGATACGGCCCTCGAGGTCATTTATAAACACACGCAAAAATGTAAGAAATCTAGACCGCAAAATAATTAAATAAGCGAATGCCTGTTTTTCCTTGCCGAGGTTAGCGTCCTTGAACACAACACGAGCCTAACGGGCCGTCTACACTACAGGCATAAACAAATCTTGAAGCTGGGCGTGTCTGAGGCTTGGCGATTTCTCGCGACCAATCACATGAATCTCCCGCCCCCGACATACAAAGCAATAGCAATGTTAAAACGAAGTAAACTGGATATAAAATCCCCAAACAGGCGAAAACCTACCAGTTTCACCCACTGTCTCTGCCACCTCCCTCCATGCCTGGTTCCTCCGGTTTGTATCCCGGTAAATAGTTCTGGTCGTAAAGAACCGGGTGATTTGCTACCGTAATTTCTCGTTTGGAATATGAGGAAATGAACTGCGGTCTGGCTCTCCCAGCTTGCACGCGGTTTGATTGGCTAGCGCTTGTACTGGCGGGATTTGCATAAACGGGATTTGATTGGCTTATGCCAAGCATCGAGCCTCAAAAGTTGAACATTGCTTAACTTTTGATGCTCACGATGCTTGCAAAGCCACGCTCCGCTCCCCACAATGCAGTTCGGCGAAGATTCAAAATCAACTACGTCACCCCATTCAAGTGAATGGGCGAAGCGGTGAAAGCATTTTTCGATGCCTGTAGTGTAGACGGGGCATAACG